GTCCAGTGGCAGTGAGCACGAAGCCGGAGGCGAGAAATGTGGCGTGAACTGCAAACGCGACCTTGTCGTAGTCATTACGAAAGCTAGCCCTAGTTGCCCTGATGACGGCCATTACCGATTGCTCGTTCACCATTGTTGTATTGGATTGAAGAATCTTTGTTCTTCTGGAATTGAATTCAGACGGATCAGAGCGAGCGAAGAAGATAGAAACACAGAGCGAGCGCGGACAAGTTCTCGAAGTTCTATAAACGGGAAAAGTCCAACGGAGAAGACTCGTGGGTTTCTACAAAATTCCTTCAATTTATACAAAGTTTTTTTAATTAATATCCTTCCTTTAAAAATATATTAACTCGAAATTCCTTTGAAGTTATTAGAAAGTAATCAATTTAATAATTATTTGAGAATTTGAGTGTTACAATTTTTGTATTTTTATTTTAATATGCAAAGAAATAAAGGAGTTTCCTTTTTTTTTTTTAATTTATGGATTTGATATTTAAGAAAGAGATTAAAAAAATTGAAAAAAAAATCCGATTAATGAAATAAAAGAATTAAAGAAAATATTTAAGAAGGGGAAGAGGTGAAAGAGATGATACACGAGCTATACATGAACAATTTTCATCAAATAAAAAAATTTTAAATATTTATTCATCATCTAAAATTAATAATTGCATCACAGGGTTTTTGCTATGTTTAATATAAATTTTATTAATTTCATAAGCAAAAATGATATCATGTTCCTATAATAAATAATATCTTTAAAAATAATATAAAAAAGAAATAAAATAAGGAAAAGAAATAAAATAAGGAAAAAAAATAACAGAATATAAAAAAGAAATAAAATAAGGAAAAAAAATAACAGAATAAAACGTGAGCGGCAGGATTCGAACCTGCGCGGGCAGAGCCCACATGATTTCTAGTCATGCCCGATAACCACTCCGGCACGCCCACGGTTGTGTTCATAGATTGAATTTTATTTTTTACATTCCGTTTTAATTAAAAGCATGATAAAATGGAGATGCGGGGTATCGATCCCCGTACCTCTCGCATGCTAAGCGAGCGCTCTACCATCTGAGCTACATCCCCCTTTGACACTTTCAAAATAGATTTAATCTAACTACAATTCAAAATTTAAGTAATAATGAATTGATACTTTTAGTATTTTACTTTAGGAATAATTTCAGAATATTATCAACAAAAAAAAAGTAAATTTTGAAATATATAGAAAAAAATAAAATTTTAAATTATCGCATAAAAGTAAAAAAAAAAAAAAAAAAATCGAGATTAAAATGTCTATTTTTCATGGCATCAATCCGTATACCTCACATACTAAGAAAAAGCTTTACCATTTAAACTATATCCCCTATTGACTAACACATTGACATTTAGTCTAAACTAAATCAAAATTTAAGTAGGGGTGAATGGATTTTTTTAGTATTTTAATTTAGGAATAATTTCAAAATATTATCAACAAAGTTTATCATAATATAGCAAATAATAAAGTGATAAATGGGGTTTGAATCCCGTTCCTTCTCACTAAAATAGGATATATGTTCCACACCTCAGTCATATTTTAATGGAGATGCAAGACATCGATTCTCGTACCTCTTGCATGCTGAATAGATACTCTACCATCTGAGCATCATAAATTTAAAATACACCAAATACAATTTAAAATCAAATTTTAATAATATTGAATTGATTCTTTTAGTACATTGACTTTCAAAAAGCTATAAAAAGAAAATAACGCTCACCTAATCTATCATAATATAGGAAAGAATAAAATTTTAAATTAATACAAAAATTTGAAAATAATAATCGGAGATAAAGGATGTCTATTTTCTATTAACTATAAAAATAGGGTATAAATTTCTATTTCTAACTCTACCCTGTAAATAAACGGGAAATTAATAAAATTAGAGATATCTTCCCCACCTCATAATTATTTAAATGGAGACGCAAGATAATTATTTAAATGGAGATGCAAGGCATCTTGCCCGGTACTTTTTGCAAGCTAAGCGAACACTCTACCATTTATGCTACATCCCTTTTCAATATTTAAAAATGTATTGATATATACAAGCTAAAATATGACGTATCAAACAATTAAAAAAAAATTATCGATAAAATTTTCAAATATAAAAACAAAATAGAAAAATAGTTATATTCAAATTTAAAAATTAAAATTATTTGAAAAATTGAGAGAATAAATAGAGCTAAAATAATACTTAGATCTACTTTAAATTAAGAATAATATATATTTAATTATAAATGTTAATGGTAATGCACACCTTATTTGTTGTGCGCAAATTACCATTCAAATTCAGCCTCAGATTAGGTAAAAAAAAAAAAAGTACCTACATAATATTTGTTTTTATTCTTTGACCCTTATACTTAAGGATAATTACAATTACAAGTAACAGCTAACGACATGTCGTTTCAGAAATTCACTTCACTTCAGCTCTGAGTTCTGTCGTTTGGTAGCTCTAATGTAACAAATAATGGCCACAAAAAAAGTGGTAGCGAGTCCGCCCAATATCACACCCCCACCGGCAATAGACATATCTCTCGACTTGTGATGCTCACGATTCTCCAATACTTTGATTTCACTTTGCGGCGCTTCAGACGGACTCGAAGAAACAGCCGCCGCACTCCAGTGTTTCCCGAGCTTCCTAGCGGACGGCGATTCAGCTGCGACGGCGGCGGAATCGAGCAGAGAATTGGCGACGATGAAGAGAAGGAAGAGAAATGGAGCCATATATTTTGGAGCTGCGATTTACAGAGTTTAAGCGGTTGGAAATAAATAGGGTTTTAGATCCAATTTTGGGGAGTGGGGGGAGGAAGGAGGGGTCTATTTTAAATTAATAAAATTAATTGGGCGTGTTTGGGAAATGCAGGAAAGTTTGGGGGTGCACACACGTGTGGTGTGACGTTGGGAATATAAAACATGTACAGCTAGGTTTGTAATCGAGGGAACAAGATCATTTATGTGTTTATATGTAAAGCTGTGATAATTATATAAAATTTTAGTTTTATTTTATTTTATTGAAACAATTAAATATTAATTTATAACTCTAATTTGAATGTCCCTTCAAATTTTAAACTAGTAATTATATTAATTAACATCTGAACTGATACAGTCACTAATTTTTGTTTAATTTCTTTTTTATTAATTTCATATTTTTTTCAACAAAATATTAAGAATTTTACTGGAATTTTAAATTCTAAAATACAAAAATTAAATTAATTGGAGAGAGAAGTAAAACATTTTTTTATAGGGACATGGAACCCTCTCTCTAGTATAGGTGTTTTAAAATCTTAAGGCTGACCATAATACGTAACGGACTAAAGCAGAAAATATTTGTTGGTGGTGGGCTTGAGTTTGGACTGTTACAAATAGTATCAGAGACATGCATGGGGCGGTGTGCGAGCGAGCGTGTTGGGCCTCTTGAGAGAGTGGATTGTGAGATTGCACATTAGTTAGAAAGGGAAATGAATTATTTCTTAAAAGGGTATGAAAATATCTCTCTAGTAGACACGTTTTAAACCCGTGAGACTAACGACAATACGTAACAGATCAAAGCGAACAATATCAGTTAACAGTGGACTTGACAAAAGAATTTATGTTGGCTTATGAGAACAATTGATAAGATGAGGAACCACTACAAGGGGAGTAAGATTCAGATTACCTTGTTGATCGAATATCTCAAGGCAAGAACATTGTTTGAGATTCGAATCACTCCACAAGCAAGATTGATCATGTCGAGCTTGAATGATTCTACATGCAACCTAAACTACATAGAATTGCAAAGAAACTTAGTCATTGGCTAAAGAAGAGCACAAATGCTTCTTTTTACTATATTTTTCAAGTCTCATACAAATACAACATACATGGCTTTATATAGCCTCAAAATGAAACTACTAAACATTCCAAGAGTTAACATTCATACTTAATGGTCATAATTAACCATTATGTAATTGTAACCTAAAGTAAATAAAAAGTCATAAAAACACTAAATTGTAACCCACCCAAAATTTATAACAATCAAACTTCACTTTTCTTCAATGTGGCATGCATTGAAACATCTTTTGATAATTTTGACAACTTTTTCTTCACATCGTCATTGAAGTATATTGTATGATTGATGTTTTTTTTTTGTTCATATCAACAATGCTAAAAGAACCTTTAATTTATAAAAAAAATCTCGAGTTATAGAAGCAATTCATACTGTAAAGACGGTATTATAAAAGTCACCGCAATGGAGTGGCAGAGGTTGCCAATAGTCAACGTGGAATCTACAGCCTACATATCAGATCATGTTCTGAAAATTGAAAACATGTTGCCTTTGTTCATAATATTTTAAGCAACCAAAGCTTCCTTATTCTATTCTATAATTAATATGTCCATTATATTGTAAGCAACATGTTTCTTTTCCTTTTTTTTTTTTTTTTTTTTTTTA